AAATGAAGCTGGGCGGCCAACAGTGGGCTTCAGATTTTTTTTTTTTTTGATGAAATATTCATAAAATTTCAGTTCGTTCTTGATCTCAGAAAGTTTTGATTTTTTTTTTTAATGCACATTATGTTAGTATAGTATTTGATTAAACACAAATTATAAAAATAGAAAACCTAGTTGTTAAAAAAAAAATAGAAAACCTAATACGAAAAAGAAATTAGTAAACTTATATAAAGACATGGAAAACGTGAAGTTAACTATAACCCTAAAATTAGTTTTTCCTTCCAGATTAACGAGAGAAACAATGGTGAGGTTTGATCTTCTTGGGATTTGGTAGAGCCGTAGAGGAGATACTTTCTAGAGTTCCGGCGACATATCTGCAGAGACGATTACGATTTACTTGCAAAAGATGGAACGCTTTATTCAAAGATCCGAAATTCATCAAGAAGCACTTAGATAAAGCAGAGAAGACGTATTTGGTTCTCATGTTAATCTCTTTTAAGGTTTATTCGCTGAGTGTCAATATCAACTCCGTTCACAATAACATCGATGTTGAACTTAGAAGAAACCTAAACGAGTCAGAACAAGTCGAAATAACTAATCTATTTCATTGCAACGGCTTATTGTTATGTTCCACGAACGAGGAAAAGACTAAACTCGTGGTTGTGAATCCATGTACCGGTCAAACCAGATGGATCAAACCAAGAAGTGCTTACGATATGTTCGATAAGTATGCTTTAGGTTATGAAAACAACAATGGAAGTTCATACGATAGCTACAAAATCTTGAGGTTCCCTGGTGATACTACTGATGGCAACCACATGGAAATCTTTGAGCTAAAGTCTAACTCATGGAGGGTTCTTGCTAACATCCCACCTAAACTGATATTTGGGAGAGGCGTGTCTTTGAAGGGAAATACATATTGGTTTTCTTGTGTCTTGAGTGACATTGATATATTGAGTTTTGATTTTGCAACAGAGAAATTCAGAAGTTTGTGTCTTCCATTTATTTTTACGCTACCGATGATTGATTCCAATACTTTAGCTTTATCAGTTGTTAGAGAAGAGAAACTTTCCGTGTTACATCTAAACTTTGGTGCACGACAGATGGAGATATGGATGAGTACTAAGATTGTTACTGAAACTTTTTCGTGGAGCAAATCGTTTGTATTTTATTTACGCTCACACTTGGATCTTTGTTTACTAAAAGAAGTGAGTTTCTTCATTGATGAAGAGAAGAAAGTGATTATGTATTGTGGCAGAAGCGAGGATTTCACGAAGAACATGATATACATTGTTGGAAAGCATGGTTGCAGAAAATTCGATTATTATAGAAACCAATCAAAATATTGTCTCTGGTTTCTCTTTAGTTATGTTCCAAATTTAGTTAGTTTAAATCCACCAATGTAAACTTTTCTTTTCGTACTGTGGTGCGATGATATATGAAAGACCAGTAGTTTTTAGCACAAGCATAACACATATATCGACGGGTTAAAATTTATTCGACATTTAATGAAGATAATGCTCTTTGCGGGGCTTATATCTCTTTTTATTTGTGTTGTCAAATATTGTCGTCCTGATAATAATTGATAGGTTTCGTCAAAAATTAATATGATATACAAACTATTCAAGAAGACAAAGAGTATCGAACAATTATGTACCAATAAGCAAAAACTATGAAGTTCAAAGCAAAACATACATGAAATTTTATTCTATCTTATCCTAATTACTGCTTTCTCTTCTTAGTATTGTATTATAGTATAGATGTGCATGTGTGCCGTCTTTAGTATGTTTTTACTTTTTACTAGTCTTATTTAGGTGGGGTTGTTTTTTTCTATCGTGTTTTTAGGTCTTTATATCCCTAGTGGGAAATTGGTGCTAGCTCTTTCCATTGACTTCTTTGCTTCTCTCTTCTTCGACATCCAAATCCATTATCATAAGAGCATTTATTCGACAATCTAATAATAATGTAGACTTCACATCTCCGGATACCAATAGTTACCAACAGTCTCTCTTATAGAAAGCTCAAACTTGGAGATGGATTCTTAAGCATTCATAGATTTTTAAGCATTCATGGATTCTCTACATGATTTGATCTGATCTCGCTCCATTTATATTATGATTGTGCAATGAGGCACTATGATGTATTGAAAGAAAAGAACGTACTCATCCTAATAATACCTTATCCTTCTTCATTGGGATTCTGGGAAAAGTGGATGGGCAATTCTTTGTGAACTCTTGTGAAAAAACTCCATTACTTGCAAGTTCTTTTCTTTCAATAAGGGAATTTCGTATGTTTACTTGTTTTACTAAATAACTAAAATACGACCAAAAATATTTTTAGTTAGAAAAAAGTTATTTACATATTTTGGAATATATATTTAAAATTGATTTTTTTTTTAAGTTAAGTTTTATTTTTACGTCAATAGTGGTATTCTTGACTATAATCTTACCATACAATTTTCTCTTAGGATTAACTGTATAATTTTCTTATACTAGGTAAAGATCCTTGCATATAAATTGTATACTTGAAATTCAATTTTTATTTTATCAAGACTAATATATTTGATGTATCTATAGAGAATCAACGAAGCAATATAATTTGTTAAGTTTGACTATAATTTGATGACTTGCTAAATCATTATATTCAAATTTAATAAAATAAAGAAATTATTACTAAAGAATTTTTTAACAATGTATTAAGTCATATTACTTAAGATAGACTTTGTACCACCGGAATCAAAAGAGACTTTCTTAAGTCGTCTTTGTTATCAAATTTTTTTTACAATGTATCAAATCATATTAAATCTCGTTTTTATCTTAATAACAAATTTTGTACAAGTCTTGCTCATAAAAGTAATCGTTGAACAATCGGACTTGTTTCTAGCAATGCAAAGCTTTTGTTGCTAAGCATAACCTTCTTATGTGGTTGTTAAGATATCAAATACGAAACAAAGTCAATTGCAAATATATAATCGTACATAATTCAAATCTACTTACAAGATAGTGAGAATCGCAAAATCTTCGTCGGGGTTGTGCGCGCTACAATATCAACTAAATCCCACTCATGGAGGTCTTTGTAGTGATTCGCATCAAATAAGAGAAGCCTTCGTCCCTGGTCAAAGGCCCATGACGCTGTTAATAGTCGTAGTTATATTATTGTTGTATATTAAGCCTTTTAACCTTTATGTTTTCTTTTAAAACTAGAGATACCCGCTATCCACCCCGGATTGATTTTTTTTCTTTCAAATTTTAATGTTTATAAAATATGAATTCTAATTTTTTTTCTAAATCAAGTGTTATTGGATTAGTGATTTTAAAATTTACAATCGAATCCACTGTTATTGGAAATATTTTAAGTAGTGGATTTGAAGTTATTTTGGGTAGGATTTCAGACAGTTTTTTAGTTAAAAATTCAAACATACAAATCCCACGGTTTTAAGTGGGATTTGGGAGAATTTTAATAACAAATTTCTTAATTCACCAAAATTCACCAAAATCATCTCAAAACTCACTAAAACTCATTAGAGTGATTTGAGTTAATGAGTTTTAATGAATTTTGCAATCCAAGGTATTTTAAAATACAGTATATACAGATATTGTATATGATAATATTTAGCATTCATTTAGGATTGCAAAAAGATGTTTAACCTTGATCCCCCAATATTCTCAATTTTCTTTCAAACCTAACCCTAACCATCTACAACCTTTATAAATAACATTCTACTAATGCAAAACAAATTAGCACAATAACGTTGCCTAGGTAAGCTCATCCTCTTATTCTTCACCTGTTGATTTCTTTTTTGAAGATCACATCTGCTAATATAAATTATCTCTTTGTTTATTTAAAAGGTATGGGATTCATCAAGCAAATATTTTCTAATCTGATTCCAAACTTTACTCGCGGCCTCTAGCAATGGCACAAGCATTCTTCAAAGTTAGGGATAAGATGTTCTCAATTCAAAATTTAATTTTAATTTTTATGTTTGAGATTCTATTTTTATAAATAACATATCTACATTAACCAGAATATATCTTAATCCTCGTTATAATCCACTATGGTTTTTTCTTTTCATTTTTGTAGACATTGACCTTCATTTGGTCTTAAAGTAATGAGAAAACACATCTGAAAGCACATCTAAACATGTGGGACGTGATGGCACGAAAGTGTATTGCGCATCTGAAGCTAAATGATCACATACTTGTCTCAGGCCGCCTTGCTTCTTATGGCAAGAGATCCAGCGATGTATATAGCGGCTTAGATCACGAATATCAGGTTTTTGTTTATTTTCTTGACCATTAGAAGTTGTCTCAAACTCTATATTAGTAAAATGTCCAAGTTCTGCTTCCATCAGCTTCTATTGATGAATGGTGTATAGTAATTGTGTTGTCGGTATATCATGCGCTCTCCTTATATACCGCCACCCTTAGGCCTCGAACAAGACTCGTTGATATATAAATGAAGCTCTCTGGCTTGACTCTGATATACCGGATTGGATTACTAGACGACTGGAATTTTTCGACCAGAGAAACCGCTGCTACGATGAGGAAAAATCACTTAATGAGAGAGTAAACTATCTTGAAAACCGTTTATATATAGAAAAGGTTACGATTTTCTGAACATTATAACTCATAATATTCACTCATAACCATTACATAGAGTCACATGTCTCAATTGTGACTGTTTATATTGCAAAATACATCAATTGGTTAAATATTTTTTGTTTTTTATGTAGCCACAAAAGCTTAGATTCTAGCTTTTGGTTTGTGTATATAATATATTTTAGTCAATAAGTATATATAATTATTTGAACCACCTTTGTTGCAGCTATTTCACCCAGTTCGGTGGTAATTCATGATGGGTCAGTGTTTGCACACCACAGGTTCGAATAGCATGCACCTAATAGACGAGTATCACTCACATATGTGTGTTTGTGTATGTGTCTATATACCGTGAAACCTCTATTAATTAATGGATCCCAATCAGTGGCGGATCTAGAATCAATTTCTAATGGGGTCAATATATTATACGAAGAAAAAATGAGAGATTTAGACATATTTTAATCAGTCCAAGGCAATTAATGGATCCCAATCAGTGGCGGATCTAGAGACAGGTGAATGAGGATTGTGAACAGATAAGACAGGACTGGAAGTAACATCAGTGTCTTGAGAACTCCATGATCCTGCAGGAGACGATGCAAATATCTGTGAAGAAGAAGATTGACTCGAATCATCTCTATCGTCTTGCTCTTCGCCTTTCGCTAATGGCTCTTCTTCTTTGACCTGTTCTTCAGTTTCATTTTTCTCTTCCTCATCCTCTTGTTGCAATTCCCATTTTTCAGAGTGCTTATTTGAGTGTGTCTGCACGCGGGACATCATGAGATTATCGATCTTCTCTCGCAACCCGCTCTCCAGAAAATCTGTCACAGTTCTCCTGTATTTAGGAGAAAACACATTTTTTTAATCAAAGATTAACAATTAAGAAACATCGTTTTGTTGATTTTAATGGTTACTTACCGCTCAAGGAGTCTGCATATGTCCTCTTTCTCAGACCGAGTGTTCATTACTTCCAGGTACCGTGACTTCCTCAATTCCTCCCAGTATCTCCGAGGCCTAGATATTTCACTAAGCCAGTCGTCGTTCGGTTCTCCATAATAAGACTGCTCATCTTCATACTCTTCTTGCTCTTCCCATCTATTCAAATATGACGTTTCTTGTTGATCAAGGCACTGGTCCATCTCATTCTCATTACTACCATGAACCAGACCTTCTGTTTCTCGAGTTTCTTGTTGGAGTATTAGAGTTGAATTGGTCTTTTAGCTTTAGTTTGAATGAGTCTTTAAGTTGTTTTTCAAGTTTGAATAAGCTCCTGGTCTGTAGGAGTCAAGTAGTAGTGGTCCTAGTCATTAGTTTACTTCCACAAGTTTCTCATTGTTTAGTTGTAGGAGACTTAGTCTCATGTCATTGGCTATTTAAGGCCCACCAATTCTCAGCAATAAGGGATCGTAGTATTTGAGAAAACCTGCAACTTTATTTTCTACATGTCTGCAACTTTATTTTCTACATGTGGTATCAGAGCCATTTTCAAATGAAATATCTTTGAGTGAAAAAAAAAACGAGTGAGAGAAAGAGGAGTGAGAGAAAGAGTGAGTCGTTGAGTGAGAGAAAGAGTGAGGCGTTTAAAGAGGAGTGAGAGAAAGAGTGAGTCGTTGAAAAGAAAACGAGTGAGTGAAAGAGGAGTGAGAGAAAGAGTGAGTCGTTGAGTGAGAGAAAGAGTGAGTCGTTTAAAGAAAAAGAAAAAGGGAGAGAAAGAAGAACAAAGAAATGTCAACATCATCCGAGAAGTTTGTGCAGCCGGCTATTCCGAAATTCGACGGCTACTATGACTTTTGGTCAATGGCGATGGAGAACTTTCTAAGGAGTAGAGAGATGTGGAGCCTGGTGGAAGAAGGGATTCCGACAATGGCGATCGGGTCATCACCAGCGAATGAAGCTCAGAGAAAAGCTGTGGAAGAGGCAAAGCTCAAGGATCTTAAAGTCAAGAATTTTCTGTTTCAAGCCATTGACAGAGAAATTCTTGAAACAATCCTTGACAAAGGAACTTCAAAAGCGATTTGGGAATCGATGAAAAGGAAGTATCAAGGTTCAACAAAGGTGAGACGAGCACAACTCCAGGCGTTGAAAAGAGAGTTCGAGTTGCTCGCTATGAAGGAAGGCGAGAAGATAGACACCTTCTTGGGAAGAACCTTATGTGTGGTAAACAAAATGAAGATCAATGGAGAAAGCGTGGAGCAGAGCACAATTGTGAGCAAGATACTCAGATCATTAACCAGGAAATTCAATTATGTTGTGTGCTCAATCGAGGAATCAAATGATCTGAGTACGCTAACTATTGATGAGCTACATGGAAGCTTGTTGGTTCATGAGGGAAGGATGCAAGAACCTCAGGAGGAGGAGCATGTCTTGAATGTGTCTCAAGACGAACGTTCCAGTTACGGAAGAGGACGAGGTAGCTTACGAGGCGGCCGTGGCAGAGGTCGAGGAAGAGCTACGCCAGACAAGGCATCCATTGAGTGTTTTAAGTGTCATAAATTAGGACATTTCCAATATGAATGTCCTGATTGGGAGAAGGGAGCATATTATGCAGAATTGGAGGAGGACGTACTTTTGATGGCTGAAGTCTCATTTGAAGAGGAGGAATGCAGGGACAAGAAGATTAAACTGGATGCTTTTGTTAGCATTTCCAGTTTAAGGGAGGGTATGTTGGAGTATTAGAGTTGAATTGGTCTTTTAGCTTTAGTTTGAATGAGTCTTTAAGTTGTTTTTCAAGTTTGAATAAGCTCCTGGTCTGTAGGAGTCAAGTAGTAGTGGTCCTAGTCATTAGTTTACTTCCACAAGTTTCTCATTGTTTAGTTGTAGGAGACTTAGTCTCATGTCATTGGCTATTTAAGGCCCACCAATTCTCAGCAATAAGGGATCGTAGTATTTGAGAAAACCTGCAACTTTATTTTCTACATGTCTGCAACTTTATTTTCTACATTTCTTGCATATACTTTTCCACATTCTTCTCGTCTTGATTCTGTCTCAACCGCGATTCTTGAGTTAAACATTCACTCGGGCTTGTCTTTTCTTCTTCTTTCTTCTCAGACTCACCATCATTGCAAGTTTCTTCTACTTCTCCTGTTTCTTGCAGCTGAAGGCACTTCGTTTTTGATTCAGCTGTTCCACTTACAGTTTCTTCTTCCTTACATAACGTTGCTTCCTCTATTTGGGGTTACGGAGTCTCAAATTGCCTTGTGAAAACATGTAAAAAAAGGTAGATTCCTCTGGAGAATGCTTCGTTTTGTTAATTTTATCATCATCTAATTGTTTTAGAATGGGTCCATTTAATCATGTAAAATATCACAATGTGATAAACAAATCAATAAAAAAAATACTCTAATTACAATTAAAAATTCGTCGGGCCCCTTAGGAACAGCTACCCAAATTTCAAATTTTTATTCGTTTTTGCCTTTACTAACTTATATCTATTAATTAATGGTGTAGAATCTTTAATTCTAAGAATATTATTTTGAATTATGATATAATTATTTCTTTTTATTAATTGCAAATTTTGCAAATTTGTTTATTGGAAAGTCTTGATAAAGTGGGAATTTGACTTTCCTTCTATATGATATATTATTCTCTAACGTTAATTGTATTAATTGGTGATTGATCTCTTTCCTTGTGTAGAAAAGGAGAAAACGTTAGTCGTGGAAAATTCTCTCTATAAAAAGAAGATGTGTTGTGTCTTCCAAAAGATACGCTTGCTATACTGTTAAAACAGAGAAACAGAAAACAGAGTTGATAATTCAAGTGTTGTGTGGCTGTTTAGTTTGAGAGAGATAACCTTGGGAAGAGGTTGCTGCCGCTGTGAGGAGCACGGAGCAAGGACTTCAGCAAGAAGAAGACATCCATGATTAAGGGGGAGTAAATGTTTTACTCGTGATATCTTAGATCATGTTTTAGATAGATGTGTTAAAACTTGTGTAGAAGTTTTATTTCTATCTTGTATTGTCTTCTTAAAGTTATCTAATAAACTTGTTTGCAGCCGAGGACTAGTGGTTGGTTTGAAAGAGAACCAACCGATACCTCGTTAAATCTCGTGTCGTCTCGTTTATTGCTTTACTGTTTAAATCGTTTCCGCTATTTAATTATTATATCTAGTCTCTCTACTTTACTGTTTAAATCGTTTCCGCTATTTAATTATTATATCTAGTCTCTCTAGAAATTTTACAAATGGAAAAACACATTTTTAACCCTTAAAGTGTTAAAACTTTAAACCTCGAAAGAATTTCACTAACACTATAAACTACCAAGATAATTTTACTAACACTTAAACCTACAAACTAGCTTTTCTGTTTGTCCCGCCATAAAAAATGATGGAAATTTTATTTGTTATTAGTTTAATATACATTTATTTAATTTCATATAAATTTAAATTAATTTTATTATTTATTACAATTAATAAAAATCTAAAATAGACAAAAAAAAAACTTCAACCTTCTTTGTTTACTCACCGTTTGACCATGAAATTTCAAAATTAAACCTCTGAAACTATAGACTTTTAAACACAAGAGAAGATTATAGTATAATAATAATAACCAAATAATATAGAATATGATGAACAAGAGAAGCTTAAATAGAATAATAAAAACCAAAGAATGTCAAAGTTAGTAAGAAAACAAAGCATTCTCCAGAGGAATCTACTTTTTTTTTTTACTTTTCTTAATAATCGTAAAATCATAATAAATGATAAAATTAATTAAAATTTAAATTAAATTAAATAAATTTATACTAAACCAACATAAATTAATTGTTGCATCATATTTTATGGCGGTGCAAACATGAAAACTAGTTTGGAGGTTTATAGTGTTAGTGGAATTCTTTCAAGGTTTAAAGTGCTACCCAATGACACTTTGAGGGTTAAAAATGTGATTTTCCCATTAATTAATACTCGATGGAAATAAATGACACAGTTGATAGTTCTGAGACTAATTATTCGGGATCCGCTCCCAAAAACAATATATTTAGGTGGGGTGAATCCAAATCCGAAAAATAAAAACACAGATCCGGATAATAGAAAAAATTAAAACCAGATATCCGGATCCGAGATCTTTTAAATTATAATAATATTTTTAATATTTTATTACTATTATTTAAATTTTATTAATAATTTTTCTTCTTTTTATATAATAATAATATTTTTAATAATATTTCTATTAATTTAATATATTTTTATATTTTTCTTCAAAATTTTATATTAATAAAATATTTTTGTATAGAAAACCCGGATCCGGATATCCGGCTTTTTTATGGATATCCTAAACCCAGATATCCGGGTAGGGCGGATCCTTATCCGGATAATGTAAAAGTGGATCCGGCCAGATCCGGATCCGGATACCTTAAAAAAGCCTGATATGCGGATCCGATCTAGGCCTATGAGTTGACACCCCTAGATTTTTGCAATATGAGTATATAGTTGGCAAAAACCACAATAGACATTCATCATGAAAAGCTAAAGAGATCACATTGGCTAAGTGCTAATTTTTTGGCTACTCTAATGCTTTGTTTTAGTGCAGCTCTCTATTTTTTCCGGCATTTTTCTATGTTTTAAGTTTAACAAACTCTTATGTACATAAAACTACTTTTTTGGAAATAATTTTTTATGTTAATATCTTTGATTTAATTTTGAAAATCTAAATAATTAATGTCAATGATATTTGATCGTAAATAAGTTGGAACTCCAGGATTTATTTCATAAATGTCTCCAAAAATGTATATATAGATACTGATATGTTAACATCTTTATATCATTTTTTTTTCTTTTCGTCACATCTTTATATCATTTAAAATTAAAACTAATGTTAATGGCATGAGATATACTTTACAATAGAGGATATATATATCACAAAGAAAATGACATGATTAGAAATCACAATAACGTGATTATATTATATATAGAGATTTTTAACGATTCTGCCATCTTCTAGACTTTCATTTTTCGGAATGCCATTTAAAAAACTTGTTATGGGGAAGACCATTTTTTCAGCAAAGAAAGACGGAAATGCCCTCCATATGGCGTGTTGGAAACAATGGTTTGACTGCTCGGCTGAGCATTTAATTCTGCCAGAGTTGCATTGGGAACCCAAGGAATTCAAATTAAAGTTTTGTAATTTTAATTAAGTTAATGATAAATTAAAGTGTAAAACCCAAAATC